AATTTTATATATCAATTTTGTTGATTAATTTTAGAATTAAAATAACATGATGTGATATTTGTATTTTATAATATTCTTCTAACATAAGTTAAAATCCTATTCATATATATATATATTTTATAATATAAATTTTTATAATTTAGATATATATGTATATGTATATTTTATAATTTAGATTTAAATATATAAATTTTTAAATAACGTTTGTCAATTGTATATATCAATTTGGTTGATTAATTTTATAATTAAAATAACACGCGATGATATTTGTAATTATTATACTAATTGATAATTATTTTTTTATAATAATAATAATAATAATATCAAGATTTTTCGTATACGATTATATAAATATATGTTCAATAATAAAATATTTTAATGTTAGTTTTTGAGGTATTTATATATTTTTATTCGTTTCGTAAAATAAGACAAATATCAAAATTAAGATTAGTATTATGATATTTGTAATTTTCGAGATACAATCGATTTAATTATCTCCGAGATTATGTCATTTATTAATAGATAAATATTATAAAGTTGTTAATGTTGATGTATATATAGATTGTATTCGACCTCGGATCCAGACGAGCTCTCTTTCAGCGAAACTCGCTGATTACGCAAGAGAGCAGGTTCGATGAAATATCATGATCTTATTGCATTACTTATATATATATATTTTTTTCATGTCTTTTCTTTTTTCTTGAATAATTTCTCATTTTTTTTTTTGTTTAAACGCGTAACACACATCTAACGAGAAAGAGAAAGAGATTTTATATTTAATTTTCTTGTTTTTAAATTTTAATTTTTTAACACATTCACAATAGGGATCTTTTTGAATTTATGTTTCATCACAATGAACTTGTCCTTGCAAATCTTTGTTTTTTATATAATGACGCGTAACTGTGTTGACATAGTTAATCAAAAGCAACATATTTTCACATTGATGTATTTTATTTCCAATTGGATGTTCAAATCGAAATAAATTACTTCCATAATCGGGAGGTGAAAATAAGTAGAATTAAAAGATATAGAAGGTTTTGAAGGTATATTATAACAGTATCCTAGAGACAACTGGACCGGATCGAAAAATCACTACCAACGACCGATCGACCAACTTAAAGTGCATAAGTTAAAATTAAGAAAACCGGTTTACCTCGATATCGCGTGTCCTAGCTAAAAAATATATATATATATATATATATATTTAGAAATGTAGTTCATTCGCGATCCTACGTCCCCATATTTCTTATAGATATAGTATACATATACCGTACTCATTTTCTTTTTCCATTTTCTAAACTAGATTGTAATTAGTATTCCAGTTATACCTTTTTTTTTTCTCAATATTAAACAAGATTACCATCAACTGCATTTGTGGAACGTGTCGTTTATTTTTTAACTCTTTTTCTTCTTCTTCTTCTTCTTCTTCTTGTTAAATACAAAACTCATTGTTTGTATCACGTGAAAATTCGAAAGTAGAGGCTCTAGGGATTTATACATGCCACATTATTAAATATTATACCCAAAAAAAATGCGAACACATTTCCTCTAACACAATCAAAATTACTTCTCGTAAAATAGAAAAAAAAAAGAAAGGAACACACAGATGTAGATTTTTTGTTCGATCCCTTCCAGAAAAAACAAAAAAAAAACAAAAAAACAAGTTGCACATCGATTTCACGATAGAAATGTTGCGAATAAAAAAGCTTGAGATTTGTCGTGCGTGTAAGTACAGCAACGGTAAGCAAGTAAATAAGTAAGTAATAGGGGGGGGGTGTAGGGGGGAGGGGGGAATGATAGTAGGAAGTAGTCGTTGTCGTGTCTATAAACACGAGAATAAAACATGTTCTTCTTCTCTCGTCCGCAAAATGTGGTGGTCGTGTGATGTTTCATTGACCATATAATAATAGTAGTAGTAGTAATAGTAGTTGGTTGCTCACATAAGTTCGCGACGTGATTTTTCGCAAGAAGCAAAAAAGAAAAAAAAAAAAAGGGTTGATCTGTGGTGGTCAGTAACGACGGTGAGTTTTCTTCTTTCATGGTAAAGTGTCCTATGGTGTTGTTGTTAGCCTATAAGGTTACCTACCCACTGGGCTTTACCGTTAAGTCCACACCACTCTTCTTATAACCCCCCCCCCCTTCCTCAACACTTCTTTCAGTCTTTTCAATCGACGGTATAATATATTCCTTCTTTTTCTTCCCCCCCCACCCCCCAACCCCCATTTCGTCTACAATTTTAAATTTTCCCGCTCTTTTCTTATACGTACGTCTCCTCCTTTGTTTTTGCTCGATTGTATCGAAAGAAATTGGTTAGGTTTTTTTTTTTTTTTATAATGTATAATAATATTGTGATTTTTTTAAAAATACACCATGCATTAATTATTTCATGGATTACTAAATTAATCCTTGGTATTTTTATTTTATTATGTTTTTCTTTTTCTAACCTCCTTTTGTTTACCCCTTCCATTAACAATAGTTGCGGAGAGCAAGTTTTGTATCTTTTTTTTGTTTGTTTGTTTGCAATCGACCAATGACGCGACGCGACGTCATCGCAACGCTTAAAAGCCCCTTTCACCTAGCGAACAAGGTTTCCCCCTACCACGTATTTTATTTTCACTTCTTTTTCTCTATTTTATTCTTGATATTTAATTTAATAGAGAAGGGGACAAATATCAATGAGTTATAATATACATAATTTTTTTGCAATTTATTTATGTTGGTCAGTTAGTCAAGGATAAAAAGAGAGGGTGACGACGAACGGAGATTATTTATTTATTTATTTATTTATTTATTCCTTTCTTTATTTCTTGCTGGCTCATTGTTAACGTCACGCCTTTGCCAATTTCGAATTTTAAAGGTTGCGCTCGGTTAGTCACACCGATCTCGAAAATATTCAATTCACCACGTGATGACGTTTTATTACTGACCATTAAACGTGTTTCTTTTGATTTTTTATTCTTTATTTCTATTTGTTTAAAAAAATATATTCTTGACCTCTTTCTAACGAATAAATAAGATAATTTTAAAAAGAAATTCACTTGTGCGTACAATTTATTTTTACTTTTAGTGTGTTACATTTTGATAAATTATTTGACATTGTTTTTCTTTTTTTTTTAATGTTCTCTTTTTTAGCATTTCTAATTTGACGTGTCTTTTTTAACACCGTCATACTTCTTAGATATTTAACTTCGAAGTATTTAAACTTCTGATGTAATCTTCAAATGGCAACGTTATTAAATTAATCGTTCTTCTTCTTCTTCTTCTTCTTTCCTATGAAATATTATGACGAACAAGTTTGATTTCACCTTCGCGGGAAAGAAGAAATGAGGCACCTTTTGCTATCTATTTTATTCGTGGTAAAATAGAAAAGAAAAAAAAGGTGAAAGAATATCAGTTCTTTCATCTTTTACTAACGTAATTATATCTATCTGTGCGAATAAACTTGCCGCTTTAAATAGATTAATGAGAGAGTATTCTTAACACGCAAGCAAGCTTGCTTTACTTATCCGCTTTCCTTCCGGTGAATCGCATCGAATGAATCGTTTAATTATTTAAGAGAAATTGGTATATCTCGATCGATAATAAAATACATTTTAATGGATTTTTTTAATTTTTCTTAACATTATTATTAACAGTCACGCGAATAGCGAATTTTTATCATGTTTTTTTTAAATATGAATTATTCTTCTTGAATTCACATATATTACGTCATCTTTGTTTTCTTTGATTCACATTCGAATAATTTATTTTATCTTTAATATCTCGATTAAAATGATAATATACATTTGTCCATGAATTTATAATTTTCCTAACATTTTATCATTAACATTTACGTTAATTATAAACATTTATTATACATTTTTTTTTTATTGTAGAAATCTATGTTATTTTTTGTTTTTGTTTTAAAGTAATTATTTTGAATATTCATTCGACGCCATTTTGATTTTGATTGTTTTTCTCTCTCGATATATTCGAATCGTTGATTTATAATTTTTATCAATGTTTTTTTAATTTTTCATTTTCATCATTCAATTTTATTAATATTTATATTAAGTGTGAATTAAATTAATCAATTAAAATAACACGGCTGAATATACCAATGCATAATTTGTTTTTTTTTAAAAGTCATCGTTCCCGCTATTGAACATGCAGCGCCATCTTCTTTCTTGCAATGTCGTCATTGGTTTGAATGTACAACGATGAGAGATGTCGTATGCAGCAACTATTCTGCTTGTGTGGACAAGTGTTCCTATAGTTTTATTTGTTGGTACTTTGTTATATTACGACTTGTAGGTATTCCAATAAAGAAGAAGGATCCGTTATGGCGCCGGTAGTTGGATTATTAGAACAATACGAAAGATGTGGCTTACATGTTGCAATGGTCTTGTTATTCGTTGCTTAAGTTATGTAAAACGAAAGGATAATGTAAGAATGATATATATATATATATATATCTCTCTCTCTATTAAATATTTTAATAATTTTATCATTTGTTTCTTTTTTTTTTAAACTTCTTTTATTTGTTTTATTTAACTCTTTTTATATTTTTATTATTATTACTTAAGTATTTATAATAGTATTTTATTTGATATATATATAAACAAATTTACAAGCATATTATGATATATTCTTTATACATTTTAATTTGATTCGCATAGAATTTTGTCTTCGCTTTATATTATATTTTACATATTATTGTGTTATATCTAATATAAAACACAAGAGTAAAAATGTAACAAAAATAAATGTATGTCTACTTTTGTCAATTAAATATTTCCCAGAGACGTCAAGATATTTGAGAGATATTTAATATGGCAGAGAGCAGAATGGAGTCAAAGACTATCGATAATCAAATGAACAAGGGTCAAATGGACGTCAACGAATGTCTAGGCAATTGGCTTATTTATTTGCAGGTACTTATATTTGATTAAAGCATAAACACAAATCTTTATAAGAATGTTAACTATATTTTGTTTTGTTTTAAATAGACTCTTAACGATCTTTGTACAGCTGGTACTAAATTGGCCCAATCGTTGCAAGCACTTCTATCTGTACACGATACAGTTGCTCAATATCGTTTGTCAGGACAATGTCTTGCCGGTTGGGATGAATTATCAAGAGCTACAAATGTTGCCAGTAATACTGTTAAGAATCATGTTATCGCTGCGTTGAAGGATCACGAAGCTAGAAATAATGATGGTGATAAACATGTCGGTATAAATTATAATTATTTCAATAACAATATCAATGCGTATAGATAAAATACATTATTATTAATTATGATCGGTCTTATTTTTAGGATATTCTAAAAGACAATTTGTTAACATTTATTAATTTACAATACCAATTTTGTGTGGCCTGTTGCGAATGCCTTGGTAAGAAAAATAACATAATGAATTATTCTTTAATATTGTTGCGTACTGCTTTTTATAAATATTGACATTATATTAATTGTAGGTGGAATGGCAGAATGTTCTTGTTCTCAAAGCGGTAGCGCTGATTGTGATATTGCTGCGCTTCAACAATGTTTTGAAAGGTTATATAGATCACCGATATCATCTTCCACTGCACAACAATCTGTGCAAAATTGTCACAGATCACCTTTACCTTATCCGTTGTTTCCTCTGCAGGTATTAATATTAAATACATAACATAGGTAATATATATATCAATAGTAACATTATTAAATAGGTTCAGAGGAGGTGGTCTGAGACAGCTGCAGCAGATATGTCTGGAGAATCTTCAGAAAATACTATGAGAAGATGGTCTATGCCATGGGATTGTCGTCATGTTACTGAATGGCCACGACAGGAAGTTAGATCAAGACTTAAAGTACCCCATCAAGATCGTAGTAGATCGACTACACCTGATTCCGTTTGGAAAGCTTCTGCGATGGCTAGTCAGGATGGTCTTCGCGAAGCTATTCAACTTCTTTCTTGTAAACCAGGTAGAAATAAAAACCAGTATATAAGAATAACACATAACACTATAATAAATTGATATTACAAAAAGGATATATATTTATATAGGTATTAGGCCATCGAATCAATTATCGGTTTACACTACTCAGCACATTCCTGGTGTGACTTTAACTACATGTAATTACGAAGCTAATTACGATTCAACGGTTTGGCCCGAATCACGTAGAGTATGTTCATCGAGATGTTGGCCACACGATTCTCATTCGACGAGCGATCACTCTGATCAATCTGGACATCGTGACAGTGATCAAAGTGTTCACAGTGGTGGAGATCACAGAGATTCAGGTATACTTATATTAGTCAAAAATTTTCATTTAAATAAAGTTCAAACAATATGATCGATTGTTTTCCCACCACAGAGCAGAGTGTTGCTAGTGGTAGTGGTTATGGGGATAGCAAAGATAGCATTCATTCTCATAATAGCGATCACAGAGATAATGAACTTGGTAAGTTTTTCGTTTATAAGGTTAGATGAAAAAGTAAAAGGAAATATTTGTTCGCTTCTTAGGAACAACTGAAGCTTTGCCATCGAGAAAGAGTAGTTCTTCAACGGATTCATGTGTTTCCGCTTATAGTCGTTCTGGTTCTGAAAGTGCTGGTGGTGGTGGTGGTGGGGTATGCGTTTAAACGATTTAAAATATAATAATTATATATTTCTTTTTTTTTTCTTTCTTTTTTCAAACAATAAAATATTTTTACATTTGCGTACGTATAATTTTAGGAGTGTTCAAGGTCTCAATTATATAGTATGTGGAGTGGCAATGACGTACCTTTCATAAAATTACCGGAAAGCAGCGAAGTACAAGACGAACATCCGCCGACCTAAAATGTGTGTGTGTTCATTTTTTTTTATTTTTCTTTTTTTTCTAGTTCCTTTAATTATTATTATTATTATTATTATTATTATATAATTTGATATTATATCATAAATTATAATGAAAAGTCACGTTATTCCTTTCACGGAAACTTTGACTTATGATACGGAAAAAATATTCGTTAAAATTAAATGACCAATAGAATTAATGTTTCGAGTGACTTAAAAATTTCAAATTTTATCAGAATCACATAGTGATTCGACGAATTCTATTTGTGACATTTGCATGTTTGATATTTATGAGCGTAATATGACAAACACACGTGTTTTAATTTTTAACGACTCATATAGATTGTGAGTCAATAAAAAGGAAAAAAATGAAACAAGTGGGGCAGAAAATGTAAGTAATATTGTTATCCATTATTATTATTATTTCATATTTATACTCCCAAAGAAATACAAAATTGAGTTCCAAAATAAA